AAATTAAGGCAAGATTCTTGTACAATGAAAGCCAACTGACTATCTTATTTTCTGTAGCGGAACTGCTGTCACCATCCAGACTTCAGAACAGACATAATACATTTAACCAAAACTTCTGTACTACTTCTTGCAATTCAAAACAAAATAGCAACATGACATTCTCCCATATATCTGACAGCACACACAATAACACCTACACCTTAACTACCAGAGCAGTCACATAAACTTCAACATTCAGGAGTGGCTTTGGCCTCTCAGCTCCAAAATAACACTTCTCTTTAGATGCAGGAGTTCTCTAGCAAAGGCTGCAAGGGCTCTAAGCTGAAACCAGTCTCCAGTAAGGTACACACAAGCATATGTTAAGATGAAAAGTGTGCAACCACTATTCTATGAAGATACCACTCACTCAGTCTCCCTCCATAACCATCAAGGTGATAAAAATAATGTTAGAAGGTTATTGTCAATGATTTTCTCAACCCTTCTTGCTTGTTTCCATTACTGTATTATTAGAGTGGAAGTCAAGCTTAACCAGTTATGGCACTGTGACCCAGAACTTCTGCAACTAAGCAAGAAAGGTAAGGCCCATACAGAGAGTAGCAAACTGAAAAGCGCACACATGCCATCATGCTAACCCTAAACATAAGAACACATACTAGCAAGTGATTTGCTTCCTCTCAATCAATAACTGCAGCTTCATTCATCATAATAATTTATTTTACACTCAACCATTGTGTGCTTGGAAGTACGATCCTTCATCCTTTTTTTTTTTCTCCCCCTAAACGAAGTACCCCACCTGCTACTCCCAACTACATTTGCCTTTCTCACAGCTGTATCTTGTTAGCAGCTCAGAGAATACTCCTAATCAACAGTTTATTCCACTTTCTTCATTTTTGTTACTTTCAAGTGATGCATTCACATCTTGAAGTAGAATATAATCACTAAATACATGACTTCATAATTCTACATTTTGTCCCACTTCTCCAACCTTCAAGGTACTCAAGGCATCATCGTTATTTGCATTGATTATGTCTTTGAAAACTCTCAAGAGTTAAAAATAAATTTATCTGGAGAATGAACCTGAGAAGTATAATTCCTAATTCTATTAGCTATTAAAATACCTAGATAGATAATAGATTCAATAAAGGCTGTTTTTTTACTCACTCTGTTGTTCTTGTTGTCAGTTCCTCATTACGCCTCTGCCTCCTACAAGAAAGAAAGATGTTTTTACTCCTTGTACTACAAGGCAAAAAAACTTACAGCCCTTTTTCCTGCCACTCTGGTCTTAAATTTGATTAAAATAATTAACTTCATCTTGATTTTTTATTTTTTTTTTAATTATTTTTTTCCAAATGGCACTAATTGCTTCTCTTTTGAACGTGAAAGAGGTTGGGTGCATAGAAGCTCACCCTTTGTAACAGATTTGGCAACTGTTGCAAAATAGATATTTTTCTATGTTGGTTTCCTCCTCTGGTTTCCACAACAGATCAGATAAAGGTGAGTAACAAGCTTCAGACTTCTTCACTGAATTAGCTACCCCAGCTCAATTAATTTTTCATTTTCAAGTATACTGATAATTCATTACAACAAATAAGTGTTAATATATTTGAAAAACTTATCCGAATCCTTGTTATTCATTATTTGTTCTCTGAAATAACATAGATCTTCCAAACTAGCCACACTGACATTTCTCTTAAAGACACAAAATTTAGATGTCTTACATTAAACAACAACAGATGGTATTACAATTATTAGCAGTTCTACAAAAAAAGATGACAGTGTTAAAAGCAATACAGTGATAGATATGTTTTAGGACCCCCAATAACTTCTTACAAATGGTCTAAACAAATAAATAAGGGCAAGTATAATATATATTCCTTTGCCTGTAAGTCATGTGTTATTTTCTCTTGAAATTAACTATTTCAACAGTTTTTACCACAAAAAAAAAAAAAAAAAAAAAAAAAAAAAAAAAAAATTACATTCAGGCCCTTATCTTGGAACCTATGACACATTTAGCTCACATGAACCATACCAAACAGTCTTCTTGACTCTCCTATGCAAACTGAATTTAACATTTTTTTGAATTGGTTAATTTGTACCTTCAATATAATAACTCCTATTTTGATATTTCTAAAGGAATTAACATTCTCACGCATATAATCTGAAGAGACTAAAGCTCTACTCTTCTATAACGATAATGATTTATAAGAAAGGTACGGTTATTCCAAGAATAACAATACCTCAAGAATGAATGATAAGCTTGTTAGTTATCACATCAGGAGATTTCCTTTAATAAAAAGTCAAATTATTCATGTTACATTTTTGCTGGTAAGTGAACTGCTAATTTATGAACACAATTTGTAAAAATACAAGATGATAACTGGATTGCATAATTGTATAGCTCAGTTCTACATAGGGCTGTGTATCACACATGGTAATTTACTCATAATTTACTGAGATAGCCAATATAACTCAGCTCCAAACTGCATTGTTTTGGAGTTCTGTCCCTCACCTCTGAAAGCCTTTCCAAACACCTACTTAAGTACAGATGACTCTTTAATGGAAGCAAAGTGGCAAGGAAAAGGCAAAAGCATACTTATGAGTAGAAGCACCATTCCCACATGGACATGACAAAACTTATTAAAAATCCAAATGACATCTTCAAAGAACCAAAATGGAAGAAAACAAGTGGAGGAACACGCCTTGAGTGTCACCAAGAGTTTCTTTAGCAATTATACAATTAAGAATAATTTACCTCTGTGTAGAGAGCTTTTTTTATGCAAGAGTACTTGAGTCTCAGAAGCTAGAAATCAGCCTCTCTTTTAGCTTTGATTGACTAAAGAAATAAAAATCCTTTTCCCCTAACCCACCTCCATCTACAAAGTGAAGAAGTCAGAGCAAGTCCTGAGCATAACATACATCATCAGCCAACAAAACAACCCAAAACCTATATAATGTCTAATCCGATTAAGAAATTCTTCAACATGAATTCAGTCATAGCTAATATATTAAGTCCACACCTACATTTCACTTACTACTCCACGTGAATCCTCTACGCACACTTGAGCATTGTGCCATAGAAATTAGTTCATCACCTGAGCCTCACCAATGCACCAACAATAGTTAGCAGCTGGGAGGGCAAAGGTCTGTAAAGAGAGCAAGTCAAATGATCCTGCCCTTTGTTACTTGCTTTAGGGCATACTGGAAAAAGTTGGTGCAAGTAAGACCCAGCTGAGGTTTAAGCTGAGTAATTTGATTGGTTCTGCAAAAATGAAACATGCCCTTGTAATCTGATGCCATTAGACCATATTTGGAAAGCTGCAGCCTCACAGCTGACACCAATCCACTTTGGAACAAAGTTGCACAGGTGGGATTTGATTAAGAGGTCTAGAAGGTACGCACCAGAAGCAGTCTGTTTCCCTCTATGCACGAACCAAAAAACATTTCTTAATCTCTATAGAATGTCTTTCTACTAAATGCAGTTCTGTCTTAAGCATAAAAAGAACTTTCTTAAACCTATCTTTTATAATCTATGCAATCTAATTTTTGCATAGAACAGCTCTGTGTGCAACAGAGAATCTAACTGATTGCCTCCTTCTGACGCGTACTGAAAAAGCAGTGTGGAAATGAACATACAAATAGTTGTATGGGCCTTAGACTGAAGAATGGAAACCGTGATCAGCTGTAACAATCTCTCAAAACTAGAATTTCCCAAAGCAAGAGAAAGACCTGAAAAAAAGACATGAAAACTTGTGCTCAGGTGTAAATGCTTTTCTTTTGTTTGTTTGTTTTTAAATATTATGTTAAGAAAGCATGTTCTGTGTTACTTGAAAATGTTTATAAAAAGGTGAAACTGAATGTTTATAAAAAGGTGAAACTGAAGCCACTTCAATGCACCTGCAGGCCATGCCTGCCTGCAAAAAACTTGAGCAATGTAGGGAGTGCATAAACGTCACCTGGGGAACATGTGGGCTACAGCCAGTGTAGGAGATGAGGATGGTCAGAGCTGGGCTACTGCTGATGTTGTTCCTCTGAGACAGTAGGAAACCTGCTAGGTAAGTGAGTGGTGTTGGGGTAGTATCTTGTGTAATCTACCTTAGGGATCCTGCTTTAGGTCTCTTCAAAATCCTACAAGTATGTGACCCACCAATGGAAAAAGGGAATTTTTTGGGGGGGAGGAGGTGGTGGTAGATTTATGTCCCGAGGAACGCTTTGGAGAAACCCCTATAGAAAAGATCGCAGAACCTGAAGGTTTTAGCCGAATAAGTGTCACAGCAGGGCTAGGGCTAGTCAATAGCCTCACTGCTGCACCTGAGCCACAGAGCCAGCTCGAGCCTTGGGGGGAGCGCGGAAGGCATAGCTGCACCCAAGGGGCAACCTACCTCCCTACGACCACTCCGCTTCCTCGAAGAATCCCTCTCCCTCTCGGTTTCACCTCGTGATTCCCCCTCCACCCCCGTTCTCGCCGCCAATGCGGACCCGCAGCCGCGGCGCCCGCCCCCAACGCTCTCAGCGGCGGCACGCACCCGGCGCTAGGGCCCTGCAGCCGCCGCCCTACAGCTCGCTCCTCCCGCCGGGCAGCTGCTGGTTGCTGTCTCTCCTAGGCGCGAGCCGGCGGCGCCCTTGCTCGCCCGCGGAGGAGTCGGGAAGCTGCGCAGCTCCTCTCGCTGACCGGCAGCCGAATAGGCGCTCTGGTCCCCACCCCCTTCTCCTCTCGGCTGGGAACGGGCTGAGGGGGGAGCGGCGCGCGGCATCCTCCGCATTGTGCGAGCAGCGCGGGCACGGCGCGGAGGTGCGGCCGCGGGGCCCCCCGGAGCCTCCCGCCCCGGCGCCGCCGTTAGCCGCGAGCCGCCGAGGAGCGAGGGATGTTTTTGTGTGCAACGGCGGGCAGCGGCGGAGCCGGCGGGTGCCATCGCGGGGCGAGAGGGCGCAGCCCTGTCAGCGAGAGCGGCTGGGCGCGATGCTGAATTAGGCGCGCGGCCCGAGGGCGGGCAACGGTCCCCATGGCGAGCAGCCGGAGCATCGAGCTGGAGCACTTCGAGGAGCGGGACAAGAGGCAGCAGCGCGCCGGGCCGCGGCGCGGCGCATCGGGCTCGAGCGGCGGCGCGGGGCCGCGGGGCAACGGGCTGATCCCCAGCCCCGCGCACAGCGCCCACTGCAGCCTCTACCGCACGCGGACGCTGCAGGCGCTCAGCTCGGAGAAGAAAGCGCGCAAAGCTCGCTTCTACCGCAACGGGGACAAGTACTTCAAGGGCTTGGTGTATGCCATCTCCAGCGACCGCTTCCGCTCCTTCGACGCTCTCCTTGCCGAGCTCACCCGCTCCCTGTCGGACAACGTGAACCTGCCCCAGGGCGTCCGCACCATCTACACCATCGACGGCAGCAAGAAGCTCTCCAGCCTGGACGAGCTGCTGGAAGGTGAGGGGCTGTGGGGGGTGTGCTGGCTTACCAAGAAGATGAGGGAGACCACGAGCATGAGTGGGCTGCAGCTGCCTGCTGCTAAGGCCTTGCTTTGGCAGCAGAGCTCGTCTGCTTCTACCAGCAGGTGGGCTGGCAGAACGGTGGGTAAGCAGAAGGTGCTTCTCCACTTCAAGAACCACAGGGAAGTTCTCGGCTGCCCTGTAGTCATTACCATTTGTAGGGAAGAGGAATGTTTCAATTCGGTTCCCTAACTGTTACGATGCTGCCACTGGTGCCTCACAGCAGCTTAAGCTTTCCCGGGTGCTGTGAAAAGGGATGTTTATAGCTTCCCACTTAATAAAACGAACCAGCGTAAAGTCCTGCTGGTATCCATACTCTTTAAGGAAAGATAGCGACCTAAATGCAAAGACATTTAAGGAATTGAATGCTTTTCACAATTGTCTCTTAGCTGCCTTTGATAATGGGAGTTGCTGCAGAGGTTGTGTAGACCTTAAGAATCTGAGCAGTGCTTCACTACTTCTCACAATCTCACAATACCCCAAATTGAAAGGGGCCAGAAGTACTTATACTGAATGAAACATACACCTCTTCTTTGTTTAAAATGATAATTGCCTGAGCAAGAAACAGATAAGCCTTTAAGTGCTTTCTACAGCTTAACTTACTGTCATGAAAGCTTGTTCTGTGGCTTCCATTTTAGCCTGCAGCATCTTTGCAAGTTTGAAATTGAAGTACTGTCATGTGTACTTTATCCTATGCCCAAATCTGAGTACATGAAAAGATACCTCAAGTTAAGTATACAGATACACTTTCATAGGATCATTACAGAGTTCAAACTCACCTGTGCAACTTTGTTCCAAAGTGGATTGCTGTCAGCTGTGAGGCCGCAGCTTTCCAAATGTGGTTTAATGGCACCAGATTGCATGGGCTTGTTTTGTCTTTGCAGAACCAATCAAATTACTCAGCTTAAACCTCAGCTGGGTGTTACTTGTACCAACTTTTTTCAGTATGCCCTGAAGAGGATACAAAGATCAGGGTTATTTGACTTTCCCCCCTTACAGCCCTCTGTCTTCCCAGCTGATAATTATGGTTGGTGTGTTGGCTCAGGTGGTGAAATAATTTCTATGGTACAATGCTCAAGTGTGCATGGAGGATTTATGTGGAGTAGTAAGTGAAATATAGGCATGAATTTAATATATTAATGGCAACTGAATTTACACTGAGGAATTCCTTGATCATGATAGACACTGTATAGGTTTCAGGTTGTTTTGTTGGCTGGTGCTGCGTGTTGTGTGCAGGACATGCACTTCTTTACTCTGCAGATGGAGGTTGGATGGGGGAAAAAGGATTTTTATTTCTATAGTATACTAAAAGGCAATTCTCACACATTTGAGTTGGCGACTCCCTGAAAAGGAATCCTCCATCCCTACAAAGAGTTTTATGGAATCATTAAGATTTGAAGAAACCTCTATTATAATCTAATCCAATTGTCAAGCCATCACCACCCCGTCCAATAAACCATGCACTTAAATGCCACAGCTTCGCATTTCTTGACTGCCTCCACAGAGGGTGACTGTACCACATCTCCGGGTAGATGCCTCACCACTGTGAGAGAGAATTTTTCCTAATATTCTACCTCAATCTTCTATGTGGCAACATGAGGCCAATGCCTCCTGTCCTATGCTTTGCTTGCAGAGTACACGTACCCGCAGAAGCTGTATTTTTAGTAAATGCATGTACATTCCAGTTAAGACCACTTCTCTCATGCTTTCTTGGGATGTCTTAGTATTCAACTTCAGCATTTGTAACATTGTTATGTGATGGTAAGTGCAACAATGACACTGAGGTAACACAGTTCTAGGCTGCAGCAAGCAAGGGTAAACAGATGCAGCAGCCATAAACAACAGAAACAAACGGGGGAAAAAAAACCCAGTTGCTTACCCTTGGAAGTCCTCAGGTACACAGGGATCTCCAGCAAGATATTCTTGCCACCTCTGCCAACCCTTTAATGAGGTCTGGGAAGGGCTCCTAATCGTCAGTTCGGAAATGCTGAAAATAAGAAATAAAAGTTGGAGTGTGGATGGTGGGGAAAACAGAAAAATGAAATCTTGGATGAACTAATAGTAAGTTGGAGTGACTTTTGGTAAGTTGGAAAAACTTTAAGTCTTAAGCATCCATGCTTTAAAAAAGACTTGCTGTGTAATCATGTAAATGTAGCTTATAGTCTCGTAACTTCAGTTATTAACTTAAATATAAGCAAAAACTGACTTCCTGTCTCTTCAAATAGTCACTGAAAGAGTGACCTTTGTCAGTGTGCTTCACTGGAAGAATAAAGCAAAGCAAATGTCACAATGAAAATGCCACTTCCTTGCTTTCTCTTTAAAATGAAAGGGAAAAGAGATTCCTGATTACTTAGTCATATATATGCACGACCAATGCAACTCTAAGGAATCTTAAGAAAATCCTGTAACATCATAATTGAAATAGTAAATGCTCCAGTAAGCATGCAAAAATCTTTACAAGTCCAATCACCATGAAGAAACAGGAAATGACATACGCTGATGGGAAGAAATCAAACTAGTAGTGAATCCATCATTCCTGAACCCTTTGCCAGCTGTTGTTGTTGTTGTTGTTGTTTTGTTTTTTTCTTCTCATTTTTAGTAGGCCTGGGAAACATATTTTTTTCTTTTTCTTGTGGTTCTCTTTTTCCAGCAGAGCGAGCTTGAACTTTTTAAATGAGTAAAGATTGGTAATGTGCTGAATCTTGAACTGCAGTAGCACAACAAATAGTTTTGTATGGTGTTCAGTAGAATTGCTTTTTTAATTTTTGGAAAGTTAAAAAATCATGCATGCCAGCTACAGGCCGAACATCAGCCCAAACATAGCTACTTTATGTAATGCCTAATTATTTGACTAGCTTGTTTGCACATCAGTGTCACTGAAATGGTGCATGGAATCACAACAGTTGAAGTTAACTCATGTCAGCTCTCTGAATTAGGTAGAACTTGAGACCTTGGTCACGCTTACCAACCCAGAAAGATGTGTGTTAAGCTTCCTTAGACTCCAGCTCTTGGACACTGACCTACTTATCCTAGTATCTAATTTGTTTAAAAGCTGGCCGCATCAAATTTTGTGCTGCAATACTCCAAACTGGTTGAATTGAGTCACCAATACATGTTTTTCATTTAGTCGTCTGCTGTAAAGGGAAAACAGCTAAAGGCACAGACATACTGTCAACTTCAAATATTACTGTCACAGGTTGAGTCACCTTAATAAATGTGATCTGGTCACAATTTTATTGAAACCTGACAAGCTCCATTTTAAACATGTGGCTTTTCTTACTTGAATCTGACAGGCAAAAAGAAGAATCCATTGTTTGCAGGACTAATCCTAGGCAAATTTCATTTATATTTCCAGTCCCTGTAGATTAGGGAACATTACATATCATGAGTTTGACAGTTTTTGTTGCTTTTTTAAGCGGGGAGGAGTGAAAAACTTCAGTGTCTGCTTCTGATCTTGTTTGAGCATAGAAATCCAGAGAGAGAATGGATTTAGCAACTGCTATGAATTTCTTCTGGTTTTGCAAGCACTTTCACTATCTGATGCTACTCTGCTTTACTTTTGACTAGTAGATTCCATGTGGAATTTTAAAATTGCATTAAATTAACAACAATGAAGTAATAGTTAAGTTTGTTATCTACCAAAGTTAGCAGTTAAACATTCATCTTAATCCTTTGTTGTCTTTAGAACTGTTACTTCCTTAAAGCATAACACAACAGTAGTAGAAAGAACCATGCAATTCCTCAGCACTGAAGCTTCTGTTTGACATTGATGCTGGTTATGCCCTGTCTTTGCTATCCTGTGCTTTGATGTCTTGGTGGTGAAAAACCATTGAGAATCTTGATTGTTAAGATCTGCTGTAAAGCTGGGAGAAGAATGCAACAGATTTCAATTCTGGCAAGGAAAGTCATACAGATTTGTTAGGTGACAGGGACTCTTTCTAGATTCTTAGGTAGGAACCATAGTTAAGAGTTACTTTTTTTTGTTTTTTAAATTACAATGCTTAATTGATACATTCCTTTTCAAGTGTCAGTTGTTTTGTCCACACACTTGAAATCAGCATGCACCTGTAAAAAAGTCTGTGGAGAGAGGTGGAGAATCAGAGATGTTTCAAAACCAGACATTGCACCAAGTGCTTTCTGCTTTATATCATCATTGTCATTGCATATTACATGAAAAGTAACATAGTAACCTAAATTGTAAAAAGTTGGTAACTGTTTACAGGCTGATGCCTACAGACCCACACCCTGGGAGTGGGGGAAGGGGAGATGGGAAAAGGATAAGGAGTCAGGCCTAAAAACAAAACAGCAGCAATCTGAGGAGGAAAGTTAATTTAATAGAAGTAATATCTGAATGCAAGATAACAATATAATACAATATAATCAGAATTGAGGCTAATATATCAGATAAAATAGGAGAGAGTGTCCAAAACCAAAGGCTTTGCTCTAGTGCTGAAGGCAAGACAGTTGGAGAGCACACGTGCAGAAATGAGCAGAAAGGGAAAAGGAAATGTCTTGTAACTTGAAGTTTTATCTTTCCCTCTGAAGAGAAAATGTAAATGCAAAGTCCCCTGGGGTATTCAGTTGTTCTTTCCTTCTCAGAACCAGGTACCTGAAACTATCAGCAGTCCATATAACTGGAGCATTAACTCTTTAACACACATACACACACATGGAATTACTGACTGCACTTCCCCAACATCAAATTCCCTTGTGGCACACACTGAACGTGCCCATTTTTCCCTATGTCAGCCACTAAGTAGACCCAGGCCCCTGGGCAAAAACATCTCTGCAGAAAGGTTTGCCCTTTCCAGAAGCTGGAAGGACCCAAGACGCTTTCCTCAGAACGCTCTCTACATGTACTGCAGGAATCTTTTCCCCCCTCTACAGTATGTAGGGACCTGGACTGGGTAGAACCATCCCAATTGATAAACACTTGAG